TGTTGGCATTGGTGTTGTTGGTGTTGTTGGTGATGTTGATGTTGTTGTTGGTGTTGTTGTTGTTGGTGGTGTTGGTGTTGGTGTTGGTGTTGGTGTTGGTGTTGGTGTTGGCGTTGGCGTTGGCGTTGGCGTTGGCGTTGGCGTTGGCGTTGGCGTTGGCGTTGGCGTTGGCGTTGGTGTTGGTGTTGGTGTTGGTGTTGGTGTTGGTGTTGGTGTTGGTGTTGTTTGTCCTTTGTCGCCTTTATTGTTGTTGTTGTTGCTGCTGTTGTTGTTGTTGTTGCTGTTGCTGTTGCTGTTGTTGTTGCTGCTGCTGTTGTGGTCGCCTTCGTCGCCGTCGTCCTCGTCGTCGTCGTCGTCGTCATTTAGATTGGTTCTTGTATACCTAATAAATGAATTCAGATTCGGGTGCCTCGAAACCGAGTTTACGTGATAGCATGCTGAAACCATGCAGGGAGCTCGGAACCCATCCCACCAGCGCTCCACCCTCACCCACTGTAAACCTTGACGCTGCCGTCTGGGGATTGGTATAGCCCGTGTGCACGTGCGCGAGTTGGCGTGTCGGGAGGCCTGATAGGGGATGTGGGAGGCTCACAACACAAGATCAACACAGGATTTGGGCTCAATTGGCCACACTCAGAGGAACGGTCGCGTCGCGTAGGTTTTCTGCGAAGAACAGGCCTTGAAGCCAGGCTACGGCTCATGCCCATGCCCAAGGCAGCTTCTGAGCGATGCTTCTGTTTCCTTGATCCAGACACTTCGACACAAATCACTACAGCCCAAAAAGAGCCAGAGACCGAACACGGAGAGAGAGAGAGAGAGAGAGAGAGAGAGAGGCACCAAGAAGATTGGAGCCCAGTGTTCGTAAGGGCGTGCGCCGGTCTGTCTCGAAAGCCCTTCGAACCGGCTGCATCTGTCCTGACTTCCACATGGCAGCTCTCTCGACACACTGGAGCGAACAGTGGGTCCTCAACGTCTCGCGCAGGCTGACCGTGTCCCTGAAGCCCGTTGAGTTGGCGTACCTCAGACGCGTCTCGACTTGCTTTTGGGTCCAAATTAAAACAAGGAGACGAGGACATGCTTATTTCGCCGAGACGCAGTGCTGGGAGCAGTGGACGGCTCTTGCCCGCTCCAACGGCAGGTTTCTGATGCTTCTCCATATGTAGCGGTGCCCCATCACTTGCCTGAAGGAGCAGTCGAAAACGTACGGTCACGTCATGCTCAACAGCCAACGGTCCTACAAGTCTGAAGCACAGGTACTGGTACAAATCATGCCTCCTTTGTCGCCACGGGTGATTGTGGGCGTGAGTCTTGTCTAGCCGTCGTACATCTTGACAGCACCTGCTGACAACATACGACCTCTCCTGTCTACAAGCTGTGGAGAAAGCAGCCTCCGCCACTTCTTGAACGGTCTCCAGCGCACTGAAGGCCTTGGCCTTGCGGGGTGGTTCTCTTGTGCATATTTCAACATGTTCATAGCTCAGGCAGCAACCCTTCCAGCTGGAGAGTCCACACCTAAGTCGCAGCTCCACAAGGGCAGTCACGAGTTCCTCTGCGATCGCAGCCAGCGTTCTGCTGGCGAGCAGCTGGGAAGAGACTTGGATCCAATCGAGCTTGAAGCCGTGGTGGAGGTGACCTCACGGTAGCGGCTTTAACACCACTATACGTTTCCCGCAATGCTTCCATCCGAGGCCTCCAGAGCCCATGGCGGAATCTCTTTAGGCGCCTCTGCTTGAGAGGCGGAAGTGGGACGTGGTTGACACTGGAAGTGCAGCTCAACGCCTTCCCCCCTGCCATGAATTCGGACAGCTTGTCCTTCATGTACCTGTGCTGGGTCACACTCCTGTTTCCGGCTGTGCCACGGAAGGTGCGCACTTGCAGAAGAATAGCCTCAAGCAAAGCTATGCAAAGCTCTGAGCCCAGGATGCGCTACGCGCTCTGAGTCTGAGCCCCAAACACATGGGCGTAGGAGCTCGCCCCGCTGGCCCCAGCTCGAGCTTCAGAAATGAACTCCTTGATGGGACCCACAACTTGCGGAAGACCAGAGGATCTTTTGGAGGGGTATGCCTTTGTGACGTGGGATACGCAGATCCGCATCGACAAATGCTGCCTTCTGCGCATCACTGCCTGCGACAAGGGCGGAATGCTTTGGGAGATTGTCGGAGATATCGGAGTATCGCCGTCTCAGCGGGGCCTGCAGTGCCTCACGGCCAGAGTCGGTGTCTGACTTGCCTCACAGAAAACAAATCCACGCTTCTGCAGAAGACGAAAACGCCACCAAGCCGCCAGTAAAGATGGTCCACAGGAATGTCTTGCTCCTCCTGAGAAGGCGGAGGCCGAGCCTAGTGAAGCGGCAAAGTGACCATTCACTGTGCCAAGTGTCCCAAGAAATTTGTCAAACTCCACAGCCTGCTTGCCTGGCAAGGACAAGAAGATCGCACGGCAAGATGTTGCGGGCAGGCTGTCCGCCTGGCTTCTCGGCGAGCCATTCTTTGCTGATAGCTCCGTAAGGCGGCTCTAGTGGATACACGTCGTCCAGGGTGAAGATCGGGTCGATAAGCGCATGCCTTCGATTCGAAGGCTACAGAAACCCTGCGAGACTAACGAGCATGCAGTTGCAGCATCAGGCGCTGGGTGGCCACAAGGTGTGGTGAGTCGCGGAAGAGTCGCAGCACCGTCTTGCAGGACTCGCGGTAGCCGATGAAACTGGCAGAAGCTTCGGGCCATAGCTCTTTGGAAACCGATGTCCACCGATTAGACTCACAAGGCCCCAAGGCAACTATTGATTCTTGCTCAGGCGAAGATCGCCCCCGCTCAGTTGTACAAGCCGTTTCCCGGTTGGTGCAGAAACAACCAGAAACAACCACGGTGCAATCGCAGAACCTCCTTAATCGCATGACATGTTTCCGGATCGTGGCCTCACAGGACTGCGGAAACGCATCCCCTCTACGAACTTCGACAGGACGATCGAGTCGACATGTTGCCTTTGCGAAGGCGAAGGATGTGTGCAGCTAGGAAAATCAAGTTGGAAGCACCCAAAGATCTGAAGCTGGCCGAAGGAAGAGATGCATAAACATCGCTCCAACAGCCTGTGACACCTCAAGACTCTCCGGCCCCGTTAATGGATCGTTTCTGCAACTGCAGACACGCAGCCAGCTGGTCAAGGGAGCATTCCATTTCCTCAGATTTCGGATTTCCTAAACAAAGGTGTTGCGCCGAAGTTCACCGAGCAATGCCTTGAGATTGCCTCTTCTTCGTAACAGACCCCCCACCGAACAGCACGAATGAGGACATGCACATGGGGTCCCTAGTCACTGCGAGTTACTACTCCCTGGCGAGAGGCAGATTGATGCTACTCCTTCCAAAGCCAGGCATGTCCAGCAGACAAACCTCAATTTTCAAGAAATACAGAACACTCTTGGAACAGTGCACTGTGACGGTTCTAAATGTGCGACCCGTGTGCCGTGAAGCCCTGTTTCCACAGAGGCTTCACCAGCTTGGCCCAGCCCCACGAATCTGTGATGCGGCCGCTGTACCCTGAGCAAAATAGCGCCCGACTCAAGGCATGAAACGAGAGCGATCACCTCCCAGACGTGTAAGCTCTGAACCATGGATTAAGATGACCAGCTTGCCATCGTGGATCCTTCGTGTGTCAGACAGCCAGTGCACAACCGCTCAGACACGGGAATATCGCAGTGTCTTAATTCCGCACAGAACGAGTGTTTCGACAGGAGAGCTGATAAGCAAGATGCCAGAACCACTGACATCAATGAAGCGAGTCGAAAGATTACTGCCCGAAAAGCTGGATGTTATGGTTGGGCTCCACTAGCATGTTCGAGAGACTTCAGGGCCACTGCCCGGGGTTTCTGAGAGAGTCCTGCAAAACCAAGGACTTGACAGACAAAGGCAAACATTCTCGTCTTGGCAAGGGTCTCGCCCCTGGCTTGCATCTGCTGCTTGGCCGTAGGATTCCAAGCAATCCGGTAGTCCAGCTGGAACGTGTCCCTCCACTCCCAGCAAGATCAGCTACTTATCTGACCGCAGGAAGCGCACGCAGCATCAGGGCCTGACTCCAAAGGACTGGTTCCCCTCTTCGAGCACATGGCGCAGGAAGTTCCGCTCCTCCGCAAACGGTTTGCTTGCCCCCTGCAGTGAAAGCTGTTGACCCCCTGAGGTCCTTCTCTGTGAAGAGTTCGCCCCAAAGGACTGATGCTGGAGAAGCCTGCAACAATCAACAGTCCAGAATATAACACAATAACCACTAGCTGTTGCGTTCTGCTCCTCGAAGCTGCCCACGAAGGAATCTCCGTGAGTCTGCAGCAGATGATAGCGCTTTGATTTGACGTCCTGGTCCAAGAGGACTGCTTCGGTCACTGCAGGGGCTCACTGTTTGCAGCTGACTCCGGTTGCGGCCAAAAGTCCCGAATCGGTGCTGCCATACACCTCTTACTGCTTGGAGGCGCAGTCGGTCTCGATTAACGGGCAACAAACTTCAATGGACGTCAACCACGAAAATCTCCTGGGACAGGGCATGCCACGAGCCCGACTAAAATCGACTGAAGCAGAAGACACAGAAGCCGCAACAAAAAGCGAAGCATTGGTCGGGCAAGTCTCATCAGGAAACACTGGGTTTTGCAGGTACCCGTCGCCAAAGCTCTGCCATCTCGCGACTGCGCCACTAGCACGCTTGCGCTCAGCCAGCTTTTTGGTCCTATCCGGTGCGGCAGCGACTGGGTGTGAAGAGGCTGTGCATAACCAGGGCTTATGCTGCCAGCGGCACATGCCGCATTCTGCGTGCATGCATATTCTGAACACTACACCATGCAACTGGTCACTGGAGAGCCAAGCATGCGCAATCATGCACGGACGTTGTGCCACCAACAACACATCTCTTGACTCAAAGATGTCTTCGGCACAGAGGTTTAGTCTCACGGCCTGGAGGATTCGCTGTATGTGTGCTGGACCGATGATATACGGTCGCAAGTTCCAACGGGCAGAAACGGAGCGACCTGCCCAAGATTGTGTCGAGACAGGGCGTTTCTGGTGCCGAGGCCCTTCGGACCAAGATGCTCGGACAGTCTCCAGGAAGTCTCGAGCCTTCTGCACGGTGCTGGGCTGCTTGCATTGCAGTGTGCGTTGCCTTGTCTATCAGATGGAAGCTGTCAAGCCGAGCCCTTGAAATGCCAAGGGACCGGCCCGATTGAGCAGACTTTCCCCTGACAGTTTCCTCTCCTCAAGCAAAGCCGACGTCAGATCGGCCCCCGCCATAAGCATCTGCCTGTTGCTGCACTAGCCCGGAGTGCCTGCTCGTACAGCTCTTGGGCAAGTGAGTAGTGTGTATCCAGCAGACTGGAGCGTTTTGCCTCCAATTGCACACGCATCCGAATAACGAGGCAGTGCGCGCCCTACCTGCTGAACAGCATCCAGATGTGACTTCATGAAGTCGTCGGACATGCTCAGCCTTGGAGTGTGCGACTGCTGGTGTGGCTTGGATAGATCAAGATGTTTGAACATAAGCCTAAGCCAGCTCCACGCCATTCTGGAGGCTTCGGTAGACATTGCTACCAAGCTATATTGACACCACCGCATAGACCGACTATGGGGCTCCAACCACGACGAGGCAGAAGCCAACATCTCCGCGGCTTCCCAGCAGCTGCCGAGGCGAGAGTACCTTCCGAAGATTCCGCGATACAGCTCAAGTGTCGCCAAAATAGGAGGCAAGTGGGATGCCTTGCCTGGAGCGCTTTATGCAGCGAGACACGACAAGTCTAACCTCAGTCTTCTCCAACTGAGCTAGCTCCTGCACAGCTGGACTTGCACCAAACGTGTGTTGGGCAGTTTGCATTTAGTGGTCCTCACTGCGCTCCGTTTTTTCACCTTTAAGCTCCTGCACCGGCCCCAAAGAGCCATCAAGCAGCACGGCGAAACTTCTTCAGCGCGGTCCTTGAGTGCCCAAAGCAGACCGTAGCGCTTTTCTGTCGGTGGACACCTGACGGTTCTACTCTTGACCGCTAGGGCTAAGCTTGGAAACCTGTGTGACTGTGGAATGTCCGAGTATAACACCCAGCTTGTGCCCAGTTCGCGTAGGCCACCGCGAACCTACGACGGAGCTGTGCGGTTTCCGTCGCGTAGGGGCTTCCCGCGAATAGCAGACTCGAAGACGCACAAGAGGGACCTGTCCAGATTTGATGATGGCAGCACTTCGCGCCCACCTGACTGGTCGCCACCGGCACATCAGCGGGCAACAAGCAACAAGGCCCACCGCGGAACAGGCTCAGAAGTATGCGACCTGGCACTCTCTCCAGTGGATGTTTGCTTGGAACTGGCACGTACATGACGGATCGACCACATGCATACAAATCACACGACGGCCCAATCCTCGAAGCCGGGACACCGACACCAGGTTGAAGAATTCTTTGATTGATGAGGTCGCGACGTCGTAGCCACTGCTGCTTCCCCGTGCAGGAGCTGATGAATTCCAGCAAGCCTGGCACAGCTTGCTGGCTCCAGATCTTCCAATGCCATGAGTGACGCCCTCTGGGGAGTTGACTCGACGGCAGCGCGCTCCATTTGTTCCTTCTGAACAGTCCAGCCATCTGACCAAGAGCAGGCATGAAGATTTGCGCTTTGTCCACAACCAACACTCACCGTGAGGACTGCCTTCACTCTCGTCGCCGATCAGGCCAATGGACCGCACAGTGTAATCCTCACTGGCCTGCAGGTTGGAAAATACCAGTTCTCAAGACCTTGGCCTCTCCTGGTGCTGTCTGTACACCTTGAATCCTCGCACATCCCCTAGGCTGCTGCCCATAACGCATGGAAGGTGTTCTCGTGTCGCAAGGCCTCTCGCACGAAAATGTCTGCAACTCCATAGAGGGGCAGCACGACCTGGCTCACGAAGTCACAAAAAACTGCTGCAGGCTACTGCGAACTGCGCTGCAGTATGTGTGGCCTCCGAGTGGTCGATGGCGTTGCTATAACGACCGACCTGCTCACCTAGCAGCTCCACATCCACAGGTGAGAATCAAACAATCACATCAAACTTGGCGCGGCGGCCGTTCACGAAGAGCGACAAAGCACCAGACCTGTGACTGTGCTTCTGCAGAAGGTGGGACAACCAAGGACTTGCAAGTACAAGGTCGTCACCATTCTGCCAGGATTGCAACCCTGTCCTCGATAACAGCAGAACATACAACCTTTGCCGGTAAAGTAAGTCTACGAGTACAAGACATTGCTCAGAACTGCACCTTTGCATGGAGGTCACTGCCGATGTGCAGATACCTGCACTGACGCCGAGATTGGCTCCGTTGCCAAAGGCGAAAGCTTGTGGCACTTTTGCTGTCCATCCGCAGATGATTTGCCAACACGCCGTTGGACCTGAAGGCCAACAAATCCGGGCTCGCTCAGATGCAAGTCATCTATCAGAATGAAATCCCGGCTGTGTTCCAGGCCCCTTTCAAATAGAATGAGGTGTCACCACCGGCAATCCAACAGTCCTGGTGTTGCTCCAGACGGAACTACTCCAAGGATGCCAACTCGGGCCAAGAAAACTCCTGTCTCTCTGTCTTTGCCTTTTCGCTGGCGCGCGGGGGTTTGGAGCACAGACCTCAACTAGGACAAACTGTACCTGCCTGCATTGGCACACAAAACCTTTGCGTCTTCTGTTCTCTGGGCCCAGGCCGATGCAGAAGCCCAGCTCACAATCAAGCTTCCTCAAGCAGCTTGGCTTTGCACAAAAGCAGTGGACGGATTGGTTGCAAGCTGAGTTCTCTGCCGGCCGAGGTTCACTGCTTTGATAACTTCGACCTGCAATGACGTAGTCGGTACATCGGCATCGATGTAGCAGCGTAGCATGTTGCATGTAGACTTCCACGGCTCTCTGCCAAGATGCAGGCCTCGAACAGCTGACCCAATGGTGTGACCTTACCAACTGACACAGGAATATATGGTCAGGCGGCGCTCTGCGCCGGTTAAATGCTAAGATGCTTCGAGTCGGTAAGAGTTTAGGGAGGGTTTGAGGTGTAGGTTGGTTGGGGTGACGATTTATGTTCTGCTTCAAGCTTAGAGCCTGCATTTAGGCGAGGTTTAGGCTTGGGTGTAAGGGTTTGAAGTATTCAGCACAGGTACAGGCTCATAAAAACAGGAACACGCACTTCGTTATAGGTTGGCTTGCGTAAGATCCCGGCCCTCTCTGTGACCCCTGGCCGCCCCCAGCAGCACCCCACCCAACCGCCCCGACCCCTCTCCGCACACGCCACCCCCCCCTTCCCCCCCCACCCCTCACCCCTACCAGACCATACCATGGGGGGGGGGCTGGGAACGCCGGACGACTGACCATATATAGCAATTTCCTCAATGCTTCACCAGAATCTGCGGTCGACTTCAACCGACTTGCTGCAGGGTCTGTCGCAAGGAAGACCAGGTTGGAACAAAGAGTCCGAAGAGATGTTGAAGCAGGCTCCAAACTAGTAGTTTGCGGCGGTTTCATGGAGCACAGGGTTGACTTCACTTGTTGCTGCAAGAAGACCATCACACATCCACACATGATCTTGAGCGCACTGCAGGGATACGATGGTGGCAGGCGGAGCAATGAATGGACCACGTCTGACATGTCTGATCCAGTTTGCAGTGATGCGACTAGCCAAAGTTGAATGTAGTATCCGGACAACACTGGGCGGACAGCTGGCTTAATGCTCTGCATGTTGCAGAACGAAAGTGCGTTTCTACATGGGAGGTCGCTATGGCTCTCATGGACTGTCCGTTGGTCGTGTGGAGATGAAATCCCAACAGTCTGCTAGAAATCATCTCTTTTACATCTCTTCATCGCATGTCAACAAGGAGCTGTGTAGCAGAGCTGGCATGTATGCTGGTGATGGGCTCTGCTAGGTCTCTTCTGCCAGCTGCTCCCTGCTGGCAAAGTACCAGTAGTAGGGTGCATGCTAGAGAATTCTCCGCCAGTCTACGCCCCTCCTGTCCAGGTCGCTCGGTGCCGCTGCCGGCTTCACTGTCGAGTGGAGCCAGTCGAGCAGGTTCGCAGTCAACGCGCAAAGCATCAACACCTTGGCGGCCTCTGGCATGTTCGGCTTCAGCAGCTGCGGCACAGTGCGGCACGCATGCTCAGGCCCAGCTCTTGCAGGTTCAGATCCTTCCTTTAATGCAGCACCTCGAAGCGGTGAGATGCGGAAGTGGGAGTCGCTGCTATCACGGCATTGAAACTCTCACACGGGAGCTTGCTAGTACAACAAGCCTGTTCAACATCAACAGAATGAAGTTCAGATTGGCAGCGTGGCTACAGCCATGTTCATCATTGCTAGACCCGGTTCATAACTATACCCTTGAACAGCTGACTTTGAACCCAAATCGAGAGCGCTTGTCGAGGCAGAGTCCGAAGAGGCCTGAGGCTAAGACTTTAGAGGATCTGCTGAGTGTGTGATCAGCAATCGAGGCCCGGCGATGCTCAGCTCGCAACCGTGACTGGCTGGTTTGTCTGGACGAAGCCGTCTCCCTGACGGTGTTATGTTGGCTTTGAATTCATGTCGGCCAGGCGATGGCGAACACAGCAGGCGGAGACCTTCTGGAACCAGTGAACTGTGCGACCCTCGACTTTGACGACGCTGCCAATCGACTCCTGCTCAAGCCCCCGTTTGTACTCGACTTGAACTGCTTCCACCTCACATTCAAGTGCATACATTCACCTGAAGTCCAAAGCAGCGCAATTACTTGCACCGTATATGTGCACTGGACCTGAACTGCCACAACCGAAATGCAGTCAACAGAAGGCAGACCAGCCGCATCAATGAACTCCTTGGCGGCTCGTGTCTCAAACTGTCTCCGAGGGCCGGCTTTGCAAAGACCCTTGGGCGCCTGTTGTGTGACTTCATTGAAACATGCATATATGCGCTGGCTGTACACATGCACTCCATCAAGACAGATTGGAGGCGCACAACACTTGAGAAGCTGCAAGCAGCACTGTACGGAACTATGAAAACACACCGTGCCAAAGATGCACTTCTCACTTCTCACTGTTTGGTACCAGGATACGCGCATGTGTCCCGACTTAAGCACGTTCGTTTGGGGGGGGGGGGGGGGTAGGGTTCCAGTCCAGTTCTTTGTACATTGTACAGAGGGCTGCAAGACAAGAAACTTGCAGCGAGCATGTAGAGCTCTCTGCGATGCCTTGGCCTTCTGCTAAAAGGCTGCGCTTCAAAATGATTAAACTCCAATCAGCGAATTTTTCCGCAGTCTCCAGGACCAGTCACAACCCCGACCTTGACTGCTCACAACTACTTGCAGGCGTTCTATGCGGCCTGCGGGTACAGACGCTCATGAATCGAACACTCCCTGAGGAACATGCCGAGTGCAAGAAACTGCCGACGGTAAGTAGGTGGCCTCAGGCGTGCCAAAGAATCGCACGTTGGCACAATCCATGCAAGCTGTCCTGCCGCATACATGCGATCACGGTGCGTTCGGCCACCTCTGGTTTCGCGCGGAGGAAGTGATGATTCACCTTCAAGCTCTTGCAACCAGCATCGTGCAGGCAAATCTCGTTCAACACACGAACTCGTAAAGCGTTTGAACGGCACGCACAGGCCTCAGGAAATGCAATCACCTTGCAATCATTGTGGGACCTCTGGGCAAGCAAGGGTAAGCGCACTCAGCGGGATGTTTCGACCCAAGCTGCTGTTACAAATGAGCCTGAGCACAGGACCGCTGCATTTCAGACACAAATGCCTCTGACTGCGCCAAAGGAATGATGTCATCCTGACATGCTACTGCTAAAGGAGCACACAGCTGGCTGGCACACGTCAACCTTTGAAGCATTTTCCTGTCCTCCTCCCCATGCAGGATCAACGTTGGGAAAGGCAGGCTGCGAACCTGCCATCCCACGCCAAGCATTCCGACGCAACTCCGCAAACTTTCAATACCGTGTTCCTGATGAAGCGGCGACTTGGCATGCAAAGCTTCCTGGACATCGTGCTCTCTCCAACAGTTACTCATACACACTCTGAACCCGTCCTCGCCATAACGTGCACGAAGCAGTGTCGAGCCGAGCCAAATCAGTGGCGTTCTCCTCGAGACTTTTCGGTCGGTGACGAGTGGGGAAAGCGGTTGCGCGAATCCTCCGCCATCCTGCAGTGAAGTCCAGGTCCAGAACAGGGTTCAGGAGCAGAAGCCCTCAGTGCGATCACTCTCAAGACTAGCGGCGTCCAGGGGCCACTCTGAACAGTGCCTGCGAGACCGATCTCTTCACCAGCTTCCAGGGCCGTCATGGCAGCAAGCTGTCCACCCGCGCTGAGGCCGCCAACCACAAGCCTTACAGCTATGCAGGGAACCACACACTTCGCGCATCGGATGCTGCGCATGTCTCGTCACGCAACTTACATGCACCTTCTTCGTGTACCCCGTGGGAAAGGGAAGCCCGCAAGCTGGCAAGAATAAGACCAGCACCTCGTCTTGTCCAAACCCAAGGTATCGGCCTGCGGCAACAGGCTGTCTCACACCACGTCCATTGACATCTGTTAGTTCTAAGATTCTAAGTTCTGAACGTCTACAATTAGACCAGGAGGAAAGAAGTCGGTGGCGCATGCAGATCTACTGCCCTCTTCTGCCCAGGCCTCTTTGTGCAGATACCGCACGCATCGCTGTGCATCGTCGACGGCATCAAAGGGAACATCTGCTCGAGGATGCGTCAGCCTGGCTCAGAAGCAACGCAACCTATCTGCGTCCCCATGTGTCGAGTGAGACTATTTATCCAAGCCACCAGAGGCGATATTGGCAGCAGGCAACTGCCACTCCAAGGTCTTTCGCGATGGTCTGCAGCCGATGCTAAGGCGCTAAGGCTCAAGTGCATCTCCGCCTACGAGTCACGGCGCCTGAGCATGCTTGTAGAACTGCGAAGGAGAGCCTACCATCCAGGACCTGCCCCACAAGCAAACAGCAGCACATAGCAGCACACAGTTCCAGGAAGTCCACAAGCACAGCAAGCTAACTTTTGGCTGCCGCTACCGCCGAAGAGCTGTTTACAATGTACTCTTCTTCACCACGGTCAAAGGGAGGAGGAAACCCTTCTTTTAGCGCTTCTCTCCCGCAAGGCACCCGCCATGGAACAGAACGATGCAACCAAGCTTGTCCGACCTTGGAACTCCAGCTGGACATGACAGCTGGCAAGATCTGTCTGGGGCCACGGCTTTTGCGACTGCGCGTCGGGTGGTCGAAGCAAGTGTAGTCGCAAGCCTTCTTCAGGAGCAAAGGTGTGCGCCTGCACAAGCACCGCTGTCACTGATGACCATCCTCAAGGGTTTTTTTCTGACATGGCCAGTGCACATGTCGGCTGTTGCCGCAGCAGAGCCAAGCCAGAGGCTTCTTCTAAGCAGGCGGTTCAAACTTGATTCCGCGGGCTTGCACATGCTCACGCTGCCGTGGCTCAACTCAGGAGGGCCAGTAGAGCCTTGCTTTCCAAACCTGGGCATCATGTCCACGAGCACGAGCCACAACCCGTGCGCTCTCCCATGCAAAGGTCACACGGCATTTTCACCTTCAACATGACATTGCAAAGCTCTAAACTTGCCCTACTTAGAGCCATTCCCACCTCTCACCCAAAACGGTCAGACGAGGGTCTCTAAGCTCAACATGGTAAGCTGTACTGGTCCGACATGGGAGGAGGAAGACGGCGACGAGGAGGCAGAAGGGCAGGAAGAAGGCAGAAAAGGACACAGAAGAATCAAAGTGCCTTACCCGTCGAGAATGCACATGATCTCTCAGTTTGGCATGATTTGGGATCTTTAAGATGCGACCCACAGGCTGCCATTTGGACCTACGTGTTAACATGTGTTAACTACATGTCGTTTCACTTACTACCTGACTGTACACCGTGTGAACAGAGCGCTTGCTCCTATACTGACTGTGGGTGATTCAAGCTGGGAAGTGCCCTGAGTTGACGTGATATGCGCATGGCTACACACATAAACAGATGAATATGTAGAAATAGAAATACACAGGTTTTTACGTTTTCCTATGTACCCACACACATGCACACAGCACCAATTTACGTAACCGGCCCTTGCTATCACTGTGATCTCTGGAGAATGAGCAAAGCAACCTGCAAAGTTCGCGACTCCGGCAAAGCTTCTCAACAACATCCCAGTGCCGAAGCTGACAAGGAGGTTGTCGTCCAGCCATGGCGTTGCACCTCGCAACAAGCTTGAAACACTGACGGTTGGAATGGTTGGGAGATGCAAACAATAACTTACCATCGACAGCAAGTGACGGCTGTGGAGAGCCTGCAACAGTCCGAGTTTCAAAATCTCAAAGCCGACTGCTTCGGCAGGTAGCAAATTGCGGGTTCAAGCGGGCGAAATGATGCAGGAACGAGGAAAAGTAGATCGAAGGTACAGAAGGGCAGACCAGCTACATTTTTCTTTCTTGACCTTGCAAACCCAATGCATGGGACAAACCTCGTAGACGTAGACAACTCTATCATTCCAAGTCTACTGCCTTGTGTCCAGCACGAGTTTGCCAGGGATTGAGCCCACGGCCAGAACCAAGAAACAGACGACCAAACAGAGTCAGCCTCCCAGAATTATCGCAGAGAGCCTGTGTTGCAAGAGCTGCTTGTCGTGAGCAGGTCTGTTGCAGAGCCTTTCCCCCAAAATGCTAAGCCGCTAGACCGCACCAGCTACAACAAAGAACCGGGCCAGACCTCCGGCCACCTCGCAAGCAGCAGCGGCGAAGCCACCTTCTGCAAACATGAGGGCATAACATGTCGCAATGGTGGAAGAAGAGCACGGGCTTGGCTGATGGTAATAACATGATGGTAGCGATGGTGGCGATGATTCTGGTTCTTATCCTCCTATCCGCCGAGGCCTCGGCATCCAGTTTTAATTTAACATACCTACCAGCAGCCGACACACAAGGTAGAAAGTCCACCCCTAAACTCGTACTTTGTTGGTGCTACTAGCAGAACCACAACTAGCAATAATGGCATCACAAGCATGTTTGGTAGGTTTCTTATTCTATCGAATATTGCTACTGAGATTCTTGTTGATAACACCCTCACTCATCGGATGTTTAGTAGCATTTGTGGGCACAGCACCAGCAGGAAGAGTAGCAGTAGTCGTCGTCGTGGGAGTAGCAGTAGGAGTAGGAGGAGCAATGTCCGTAGCAGTAGCAGCAGCAGCAATAGCAGTAGCAGCAGTAGCGGTGGCCGTGGCAGTGTCAGTGGCAGTGGCGATAGCGGTAGCGGTAGCAGTAGCGGTAGCAGGAGCAGCAGCAGCAGCAGCAGCAGCAGCAGGAGCAGGAGCAGCAGCAGCAGCAGCAGCAGGAGCAGCAGCAGCAGCAACAGCAGGAGGAGAAGTGGGAGTAGGAGCCGGAGGAGTAGGAGGAGTGGCAGTTGCAGGAGTAGAAGCAGGAGTAGGAGCAGTAGTAGGAGTTAGAGTTGGAGGAGGAGTAGGAGTGGCAGGAGTAGGAGGAGTAGGGGTAGGAGTGGGAGTTGGAGGAGTAGGAGGAGTAGCAGGAATAGGAGGAGTAGCAGGAGTGGGAGTTGGAGGAGTAGGAGTGGCGGGAGCAAGAGGAATAGCAGTAGGAGCAGGAGGAGCGAGCAGAAGCAGCTGTAATAGTTGCAGGAACAGTCGCAGCCATAGTCGCAGGAAAGCAACAGCAGACATAGTAGCAGTAGTCGTCGTCGTCGTGGTGGTGGTCGCGGTGGCGGTGGCGGGGTGGCGTGGCCGGGGGGCGGGGGGGCGGGTGGCGGTGATGATGATGATCATCATCATCATCATGATCATGATGATGATGATGATGATGATGATGATGACGCTGACGCTGACGCTGACGCTGACGCTGACGCTGAGAAGATGATGACGATGACGATGACGATGACGATGACGATGACGATGACGATGACGATGATGATGATGATGATGCCGATGATGGTGGTGAGGTTATAATCGTGCTGGTGCTGCTGGTGATGACTGCGACAGTGATGGTGGTATTCAGAATGGCAATCATGGTCACAATGGGGAGGCGAAGGGACGGTTAGGATAAAATCATAAGGAGGATGAAGAACCCAAGGACTGTGAAGATAAAAGTAGATGAATCTGGGTTCCGCCGAGCAACAGACCAGGCTAACCAACAAAACATCAACAGCTGCAGGTTGTGCACCGGGCGTTGTTAGCACCACAATAGCCGCAAGAAGCGCTGCCACCTCAGACGGGTGGCTGACTCACGGACTAAGGCGTGGAAGGATAGTTCTTTAACTGCAGCGACAAGATTGTTGGTTGAGTACCCCGAAGTTCGGCAGCACATTCAAAACTCAAAAAACAAGGTGGTCAAATGTAGGACACCCGGCAAACAGCGACCAACAACTCAACAAACATTGCGAGCGAATTCCGGAAACAGCGGAAACTCATGAACGCAAGACACAGTTCTAGTGACAATCAAAGCAAAAACGGAGAATCCTGACACCTGGAGCTTATATCCCTAAAACGCAATTTTTAGTTGATTTTTTGCCGCATGTACGTGACATGTCATCATCTGAGCGGTTCCTCTCATTCGACAGCGGCCTTTTCCTGTTTATCTTACCGTCCAAGATATGTACCAAGTTGCCCTTGATCGGCGGATCTGCTTTGCATCATCAGACGTTAAGGCTCAATGTCAAGCGATGTCTAAAAACTTCGCGTGCCTGCTCCAGTTTGCTTCCGATGCTGCAGATTCCTCCCAACTCTTACTAATGTCCATTACACCAGCGGACACTGCCAAACCGCTCCAGGATTCGCACGACTTTTGCCGATGTGTTCAAGCGATCAATTTTTTCAAGCGGAACGCTCCACTTCCAGAACTTCCGGTCTTCCGAACTCTTGAACCCCGCGACTACCCCTACCACTAACATCCACTAACCGGGTCCCACGGCCACGACTACCACCACCACCACTGCCAGCACTACTACCAGACAACTACCACTAACCGGGCACTACTACTCCTCCTCATGCTGTTGCTGCTGTTACCAGCAGTGCTCGTAGTATTAGCAGGCCTATAGTGGATTGCTAAAAGTTGGAAACCAATAGCCTCATACCACTATTTGTCCTTAATCCGGTTTCCGACTGTTGGTGGTTTACTACAGTAGTACCACGCGTACTGGTAGTACTAGCTTAACAGCAGTAGTAGTAGTAGTAGTAGTAGTACTAGTAATAGTAGTAGTAGTAGTAGTAGTAGTAGTAGTAATACTAGTAATAGTGGTAGTAGTAGTAGTAGTAGTAGTAGTTGTGGAGCGCAGCAAACGGACTTGCAAAGCAATCGCGCTGCTGCAGCTATTTTCGCTCCGCGAGTTCAATGGGTCGCGGACCCAGTCTCTCAAAGTCCCTAGGGTACCGCCGCGCAAGGACTTGCCGCAGGCGCGCTACAAAAAGCAACGCAA